AGACCGTCTCTTGTACAAATAAGAGCCAAAAGTTGAGACTGTCAGTTAAGCTTCCAAAAGCTGATGCTTTCTGTGTTTTTAAACATGTAAATTATTGAGTAGATTACTTATTTATTTATTGTACTTTCCTATTGACACAGCTGTATTTAATAATGTTTTTGAACATTCTTTGTCCATTATGCATTCAAAATTACATGTAAATACAAACTTATGGGGAATATGGGAGAAAGACTAAGTGAAAATTCTCTCTCCTCCTACCCTGCAGCCCCTCCACACATACCTGCAGCCTGCCTTCAAGTCAGAGAATAAATGCAAAGGACATAGCATAATGTAATAGTAAATGAAAGATCTTTATTTTTGTTGATTATTTTATGGGGGTGGGGATTGAAAGAAAAGTAAATGGTCAAACATGCAGATTCTTTCTTAGCAGCAGCCATACTTGCTGTAGGAGCAGGTATAAGGGCATCTGAGCTGAATAAGAACCAATCAAAAGAAAAGAAGAGATACTTGAGTTTTGAAGAATAAATAGGTCAGGCAAAGAGGCAGGAAGCAGAGCAGCACGTTTGGCGAACACTTGGTGTCCAGCATGGTGAGAAGAGTAGAACAGGAGACTGGCTATCTCTAGAAACAAATGAGAGATGAAAAGGGATGTGTTCCTGATGAGTTTTTGGAAAACCAAACCTGTTATTAAATATATTGTAAAAGCAAAATAACAAAAGAATCTTTTTATAAAGGTCCAGGCACTGGGAATGTAAAGACAGAAAAAATCCAGCTTGTCTTCAAGAAGTTCACGAAATAAACACTGAGACATAAATTATATTAGTTTATCTTATAAATTTAGACTTTGTGTTGCACAACATACTTGCCACATTCCTATAAAAATGACCTCATTTACTTGTTGTTTCCATTCTTGGATTCGCAAGAATCATCCTACAGGGTAGTGTTTACTAAATTGGGTAACTTTATCTCAAGAGGGTATAAGAAAATCCTTTGCAGGGCCTCCCTGGTGGCGCAGGTGGTTGAGCGCAGCACTGTTAAGCTGTCTGCAGCCTCTGCAGTGCGGGTTCGATCCAGCAAGGGAGATACCCATGTGGTACGTAATACCTCTCCTGTCTCGCCCGCTGCTCCCCTCAGCAGTGTATTTCAGTCAGTCTGCCTGTTCTGTTCCCCACTCTGTCTCTGGTGAATCCTCTCACCCTCCCACACATCTGGCCTGTATCCCAGTTCTTGTATACATGAATAAATAAATCTTTAAAAAAATTTTTAAAAAGAAAAGAAAATAATTTGCAATGTGGAAAAATATTAGAACTTGCATTTTATTTTTATCTCATGTTTTAAAATTTCTACTTTTCTATGCTTTGTTTGTACATGTATCAATAAATAGTGCAATCATGGAATTTATAAATAAGTAAGTGTACATATGAGATACACATTATTTTTTTAACTGACGGAACATTTAATAGAAAAAAATTGAAGATGGTCCACATAGAATAATTTTTCTTCTACTAACTAAGCAGGATAATATGGTAGCCTGTACCAGGTGGACAGAGCTGTTTTGGTTTCACTGAAAATAAACTGAGAGCTCTTTGGAATTGATGTTTCTGTGTCCTTTGGGTAAATACCTAGGAGTGGAATTGCTGGATCATATGGAAGCTCTATGTTTAGTAGGTCCAGAAATCTCCACACAGCTCTCCATAGTGGTTGGACCAGTTTGCACTCCCACCAACAGTGTAGAAGAGTTCCTTTTTTTCCACAACCTCGCCAACATTTGCTGTTGCTAGTTTTTTTAATATGTGCCATTCTCACTGGTGTAAGAAGGTATCTCATGGTAGTTTTGATTTGCATTTCCCTGATTACAAGTGATGTTGAACATTTTTTTCATATGCCTGTTGGCCATTTGCATTTCCTCTTCAGAGAAGTTTCTTTTTAGCTCTTCTGCCCATTTTTTGACTGGATTATTTTCTTTGTTGTTGCTGAGTCTCATCAGCTCTTTGCAGATTTTTGTGATCAGTCCTTTATCATTAGTGTTGTGTGCAAAAATGTTCTCCCAGTTGGTGGGGTTTCTCTGCACCCCTATGTTTATAGCAGCACTATTTACAATAGCTAAGCTTTGGAAACAGCCCAAATGCCCAAAAATAGATGACTGGATCAAGAAGATGTGGTACATATATACCATGGAATATTACTCAGCATTCAAAAAAGATAAACACATGCAATTTGCAGCAACATGGATGGCGCTGGAAGGGATCATGCTCAGCGAAATAAGCCAAAAAGAAAAAGAAAAATACCGGATGGTCTCACTCATAGCAGGAATCTCGAAAACTTAAATAAGGGACCAGGAAAATGAATAACTATAAGAAAGTGAAAATCAAAATCAACAAAAAACTATGAACCAGAGACACTTTTTGGGGGTTGGGGGGTGGAAGGGGAGGGATTGGGGTCAGAATGGGGGGTTTGCAATTGTATGGGGGAATATAAAATAAAATTTATTATTTAAAAAAAAAAAGAAAATAAACTGAGAGCTTAACAAGGTGTATCCCTTATTTTACAGTTGGAAAAACTGGTACAAATAGACTGAATGGTCTAAGTTCACACAGCATGTTATTCCCAAAGCTAGAACAGGAACCTCTTACTACTATTTCAATATTCTTCTCATTGTAAGCTAGTAAACACACACATGTGCACACACATACATACACACACAGAGAGAGATCATATTCTCTTAAGTGAATGAAGTAAAATATAGATGTTCAGACTGTATTGATAGGGAAATTAGTCTTATTTTTAGTTTATTTTATTTGTAATACAGGCATGCATTCATCTAATGGGAGGGTTTGGAAATTGAGCCTTCCTTGCCCTCAAAGGAACAGACTCTAGTTCAGAGTTGCTAATAATTCTTGATCTTGATTAGAACAGACATCAAGATCTGTTGTAGAAAAACAAATAATGGACTATAGGAAATACAAAAAACAATGGTAATTGATTCCTGAGACTAATAGTAAGACTTACAGGTGGTTGACTAAGAAGTGCTTCCATGGGAATGTAAGAACTGGTCATGAGAGAAGAAATCTTTTTCTAAGGAGAAGTCATATGACAATGCACAGAACACTGTTCAGATGTCCAGCACATACCCTGACCACCCAGTGTGCCCTCAAGGGGAGTACCTTCCACTGTCCTCACTGAGTGCCTGTACATCACTTTGACTCACTAGTCAAATGTGATAACCTCCCTGGTCCAAGACTGTGTTTGGTCAGTGTTTGAGTAACTCGTGTGTACCCTCCAACCCCACTGCTTCAGTCCAGCTCACAAACATCTCTAAAGTGACCCCATCTTTGGCCATGCATTATGTCATAGGAGAAATGGAGTGAAAAGGATAACTCTCCAAATCTGTATTTAGAAGGATTGAACTGAAAAAGCATCTGCAGAACTGATGCAATGGCTACATTAAAGTATATAATTGTTTCCTTCTAAAGAGTTTAGTTTTACTGTTTGATAAGAAGTCAGAACCTTCAAGTTCTAGTTCTTCTTTCATAAACAGATAAGGGGACTATATAAAGAAACTTGCATTGATAATTTAAGAGAGTTTAAAGAGGCATCTAAAGCTCAGTTATTTTGTCCAATGTATATGCAATTTTATGTCAACATGTTTTTCTGTTCCTCTGAATAATTTAACAGATAAAAACCAACCAAAGGAGAAGGAAGAATTTAATTTTCACAAATGAGGAAAACAAATACACAACTGTATTGTCTGCATGACTAATGTGGTTTCACTTATCTGTAATTGAAAATACCAAATATTCTACTCTAACTAGCTAATCTATCAATCATTTTTAAAAGCCAACCATTGTACTCAAAAGGATTTCCAAACACATGGAAGAACACAAACTAAATTTTCACCTTGCCCTTTATATCATTACATCCAAAAGGGTATTGAAACCCTGCAAATGGAAAGATTTTTTTTGTGGCTTTCATTTTGTTTACTTTTCTTAACTTAAACACTGAAGTTACAGAAGAGAGTGCATCAATAATTGGTATATTGATTGACTAATATCAAACGAGCAACCAAAAATTAATAGCTACACAAAGAGCAGAATGTAGGAATGAAAATCTTCCAGGGACTATTCCCCCCCCAAATTCAACAAGGTAAAAGATCCACCATGAAGCAAACAACTATCCTGAAACTTAATTACATTTCAAAGTAACATAGTTACATGAGAAGAATAAAATTTTTTTGTTCCATGGTTTGCCTACCAGATGGCATTTCTAAATATAGTAATCTAAAACCTTCTGTTTGTTCTATAAAGATGAAAGGAATAGCAACAATAGCTAAGCATTTAAATCACTGGAAATAAGAGCACTTTGATTATGTTGGGAAGTATCTGCTTATTCTAGTGTTGCTGAATCTGGGGTGGCTCATGTTCTAGGTATATCTCAGAATCCCAACCTGCTCAACTATCTGCTCAGCTCAGTGCTCATCCAGGAAGAGGAGCAAACCAAGAGCTAACACTAGATTTCAGGAAACAGGAAGAAACACAGGAACTCTGATAGAGATTATAAAGAACTACAATCAACATCTCAAGGGGAGTATGTGTTTCTTTTTAAACAAAATAGCTGGGACATGCTGCCTTACTTTCGTGAGCTGATGTGTACATATGGGTAATAGTTAAGGACCTGGACTGTGGATTCCGGTCCAGGTTCTGGAAATGACCAGAGTAGGACCTAGAAATAAGTTCTTTACCTCTCTGAGCTGCATTAACAAAACCAGATAGCAATAGTGCAGCGTTTTATGGAATTACTTATGGCAGAGTGTTTGGCATCCAGTAAGTTTCAATGACTGAGCTATTTATCATGACATCAATAATAAAATTATATAATCAATATAAATTATAATTACTAGTAAGTAATTATGTTTCTGATTTCTTGTTCTCTTGAACTAATATAGTGCACAGCAAGGGGTCCAAAAAGTAGGTGGGACTTCAAGAAAGAAGTCAAAGCCTTACCTGGTATTTCACCCAGAGCCTTGTCCTACTGCATGCAGCACTGCCCCTCCTTTCATTTGGCTCTTGAAAGTTGAGGATAAGTGTTGCAAAAGCAGGTCTAGAGATAGGAGATTTTGAGACTTGGTTGTCAGAGTTCTATAAGCTTCTCCCCTCCCCTAGTCTGTCCTCCTAAAAGACTTCACTCTTGGGCAGTCTCTGCTGAAGAGCCATAGGCTTCACTGAAATAATGCAAGAGTTTCTTCTTAATCTGGTTAACTAATGGATAGTACAATACAGTGAGAACTGAGAGCTTATCCTGGCAACATGACCTGAATAAGCAGTTTAGTCACTTTGTAGTGGGGTGATTAACAAATAAAAGGAAAGCTGTAATTGCTATTAATGAATGAAAGATTGGTGATTAATGGCACTTCACATTCTACTGGATTATTTGTCAGATTTTGCATGAGTAAAGAGCCACCTGCTGTGGCTAAACCCTCAGTATTAAAAGATGGCTATGGTTAGGTCTGTATAGAGAAAGTAATTCCATTGGGGGGGGTAATTTTAAAACTGATGAAATATACAGATTTACCATCTTAACCATTTTTAAGTGTGTAGTTAAATGGCATTAAGTGTATTCATGGTGCACAACTATCACCACTATTTAAAACAACTGCCATTATTCCAAACAGAAACTCTGTACCTATTAAACAATATCTCCCAATTTCCCTTCTCCTGGCAACTACTGTTCTACTTTCTGCCTTTATGAACTTGCCTATTCTAGATACTGCATGTAAGTGAATTGACATAATAACAGTATTTTATAATAATCACACATATTCATTGCAGTAATAACAATATTGAGAGAACACTGTTATTTTGTGGCTGGCTTATTTCATTTAACATACTATTTTCAAGGTTCATCTACATTGTACTATGTGTCAAAATTTCATTCCTTTTTAAGGCAGACTAATATTCCATCATATGTCTATATCACAGTTTGTCCATTCACCCTTCTGTGGACATTTGGATTGTTTCCTCCTTGGAGGTGGTGAACAATGCTCTGTGTCCTTGCCGTACAAGTATTTATTTGAGTCCCTGCTTTGATTTCTTCTGGAGCTACACCTAAGAGCACAACTGCTATATTCTGCGGTAATTGCGTTTAGCTTTTGGAGGAAGAGCAAACTGCTTCCACGGCGGCTACTCCACATTCTCATCAGCAACGCACAGGGTTTCCATTTCTCCCAGTCCTCACCAATCTTTATTTCTTTTTTTTCATTAATAGTCATCTTCACGGGGGTGAGTGGTACCTCTCTAAATCAGTATGCTTTCAAAACGACACAAAACTGATATCATTAGGTGACTATCTTACCCTGCAGCTGCAGCTACAAACATCCTGTTCAGATCCCAATACAGAAGGTGTGGTTATATGTGCTTAATTTTACGAATAATAACACCACTATTTCTCTACATAAAAAGGCAACCCTGAGTCTTAGGACTACAGCTAAAAATCCCAAATAAAGTCGAGCCGTTAGTCACCACCCACGCAGTTACCTGCAGAACCCTATTCTCAGCACAAGCAAACTAGAACAGCTGGAAGCAGCGCCTTGGAGATGACCCAGAGGCAGGAGCAGCCAACCCCGCATGCGCGTGTCCCGGCGCGCCCCCAGCGTGCGTGCGTGTGTGCGTGCGCGCCGGAGGGGCGGGGCCAGGAGCGTGGCGGCGGCGTAGTCATGGCGGCCGCCTCGGGCTCAATGCACCTGCAGCGCTGCTTGGTATCGCCGGCTGGGAGGCACAGCGCCTCTCTGATCTTCCTGCACGGCTCAGGTGGATTACAGTTTTTCTGTCCTGGTTATCTGCAGCTCGGGAAAGGTCCTGCCCAGGTTCCCCCGGGGTGGCCCGTGAGGAGGAGGCCCGGTGGACCCGGAGCGGCGGCTCGCGTTTGGCCTGCCGCGCGGTTGTGGACACACGGACCTGGGGACCTGTGGCCAGACGTGCCCTGTGACCCTGTGGTCACTGACCACTGTCCAGGCTTCGGCCCTTTGATTCTCCCCCGCCCCCCACTAAACTTTCCATCCTCAATCTCCTCCAGGACCACCCTAGCCAGCCCCCACTGCTCTCACCCAAATTTAAACAGAGCAGTTAGTAAGGTAAGTCTTGTGCTAGAGAGAAAGAACTTGTTTAGTACTACTTAAGTACTTAATGAGTGATTGGAGTTTTCAACCACATAACATCGTTCGCCATTGCTTTCTTCAGTCTCCCATCCTAATGACAGCTAAGAGTCACAGTTGTAATTATATTTATTGAGTATTTTGTTTCGGTGAGCCTGGCTCGAGTGTTTTCTCCCAGTCCTCTTTACCGCAATCCCTTCTCTCTTTTCTCCTCTGTGCTTTAAGCCTCTCAGATCAAGAGCAAAGTCAAGTCTCAGTCCTAGGAGTGGATTCTCCTTCCATAGCATCTCCTAATCACCTGTGCTTCATTCTGGGCAGGTTTTTACACTCATCTCTAATTACTTGCATGTGTCTTCCCCGCTGCATTGTGGTAGCTCCTCAAAAGTAAGGACTCTTGGTTTCATCTTTGCATCCCTAGTACTTGGTCAAAGATAAGTTCTTGGGAAATGTTTTTTAACGAAATGAGATGAGGCCTGTGTCCTCAGGGGCCCACCTAAAGTTACAAACAACACGTTCAGTTAGTTTGAGTCATCAGTGGATGGTGGTCACAAGATGGTGCAGTTTACTGCCAAGTGAATTGTAAAGAAAACAGACTGGTTAGGCATTATTAAGGCATTTGAAAGATGAAGAGCTGGACAGGGAAAGTGGTCTTTGAGCTGACACTAGGATAGTTTTAAAGGACTTGGGGTATCACATAGTGGAGGGGACTTGAAAGGGTACAGAGAGCAGACCTGGAAATGCTCAGTTTGTGGAAAGCACCCTCATTTTGAAAATGGATAGGTTGAACTTGGAAATGAAATGGAAGTTCACTTAGCTCTTCCTGTGAGGGGCAGTAGAATTGCGATTTGAACCCAAATCTCCGACTGCAAAATCCATGTTCTGGAAAGGTAAAGTGAAAAAAAAACTGGCTAGAATATGTAATTTTGAAAACAGAAGAGAAAGGGTGTAGGGTAAAGAAAATATCAGGCTTTTCTGCCCTTCCGCCATCAGGATAGATGATGGATCCTTGTCCTGAATGCATGCCTGATGGCGGGCACCTGGAATAGGGTGTGGGCATAGGTAGATGGGATTCAGCTGAGCTAAGACTGTGCTTTTAAGGGCGGCGTCACGGGGGACGCCAGCAGCAGCAGCACCAGCACAGCAGCAGCCGCAGCCGAAGCCGAGAAGCAGCAGAACGAACGCTAGAGAGCCCAGATAGAGTGAGGACTTGCTGGGGGCTGGGAGGCCTGCCAGCCTCCCAGCCCCCAGCCAGCACCCCTGCCTGCCATATGCCTGGTGAACCCCAAATAAAAAACCTGCAAAACTACTGAGGACTCTGACTCCTCCTTTACCCGGTCTGCATGGGATCAGAAAACCTGCACTGTGCCCGTTCCTGCCCTTACAATTGGCGTAAGTCGGCAAGATCCATGCAGACGGGTATTGGAGCCTCCGAAGACCTGGAGGGACTAAGGAGAACAGACTTTGCCTGTGACGACGCTGGAGGCACCATGGCGGTATAGGAGATGGATACGTCCACGAGCTACAGGATGAGACCTGGCGTGAAGGAGACGCCCGAAAGGACCAGCCAACGACACCGGAAAGGACCAGCCAACGACACCGGATAGGACCAGCCAACGACACCGGATAGGACCAGCCAACGACACCGGAAAGGACCAGCCAATGACCCCTGAGGCAGCAGGCCATTGCTGAAGCAGGGAGAGGCCAATGGACTGATAGACTGATGAACTGATGATTTTGGACTGACAATCCTGCCAGAAGGCGGAGGACCTTAGCAGGTTATGTTTATTTTTTGAGAATCTGGGGTGGCCAGTGGGCCTAGATGACCAAAAGCAGCCTGTGTATGCCAGTGGCCAGGTGGAGGAGAAAAGCCAACTAAGGTGGCAAAAGCTGGTACTGATGCTAAGTTGAGAAGCCCTAAAGCGGCTGTTAAGCCGCCTGGGTATGCTGAAGCCCTGTGAGTCTCGTAAAATCACCTATGGGTGATGCCCTGCTCATTCTTGAGTGAGGGTGAGGAGCTGAGGAGCCCGTCCTTGTGGGACGGGTGGGGAATGTGGCTTGGGGTAGAGCCCAAGCCAAATGCAAAGTTTGGATCCCCAACCCATGTGCTTGTGCAGTGGGTTGGCTTGAGAGCAGGGGTCTGTGAGTCGCATGGGTGGCCATGAAGGCCGAGTGTTGGAGCGACTGCAGACAGAAACCCTGAGGGTTGGCGATTACCCCCAACAGAATAAAATTGCCAATCCCAGAGCTAGTGCATCCTGGGGGTGGATGCTGTGTGTGCCTTGTAGCCGAGACTACAGCCAGAGAAGGCCAGGAAGCCTGACGGCTCCTGGTGTGATATAGCAGATGCCGTGTGTGATTTCCCCTCCCTCGTATGAGCAGTGCCTTCGGCAGCAGATTTGGTGGCTCATCTGCTGGTACCAATAATTGTCTTTTGCACTTGGTTGGTGCCCTGCCTGGACTTATTTGTGTTCTGTTGTATTTTGTTATGTTGTATTTTGTTATTTGATGTATTTGCTTTTGTGGGCCATGGCTGCATTGTTTGTTTGCTTAGAAAATTGTGTATATATGTATAGACTGTATGGCAGAAAACCCTGAGGGGGTGGACTGTAGGGTAAAGAAATATCAGGCTTTTCTGCCCTTCCGCCATCAGGATAGATGATGGATCCTTGTCCTGAATGCATGCCTGATGGCGGGCACCTGGAATAGGGTGTGGGCATAGGTAGATGGGATTCAGCTGAGCTAAGACTGTGCTTTTAAGGGCGGCGTCACGGGGGGACGCCAGCAGCAGCAGCACCAGCACCAGCAGCAGCCGCAGCCGAAGCCGAGAAGCAGCAGAACGAACGCTAGAGAGCCCAGATAGAGTGAGGACTTGCTGGGGGCTGGGAGGCCTGCCAGCCTCCCAGCCCCCAGCCAGCACCCCTGCCTGCCATATGCCTGGTGAACCCCAAATAAAAAACCTGCAAAACTACTGAGGACTCTGACTCCTCCTTTACCCGGTCTGCATGGGATCAGAAAACCTGCACTGTGCCCGTTCCTGCCTTTACAAAGGGCTAAGGACGTTTAAAGGGAAAGATTTAGCTGATGAAATATATTTAGCAGGTGAGTTGTGTAAGAGATGAAAGCAGTGCTTAACAGCTAGGAGATTATCATTAAGATTATTGGGGCCCTGAGAATATTCATTTAAAGCTACTAGAAATATCCTCATGCATAACTCCTTTTAATAAATAAGTTTACCATATCATTAGGAAATACTCCTAGAGTTTCCCCAGGACCACCTCAGTTAACTAACTGTAGTCTTTTCATTTTATTTTTATAATTTTTATAAAATTTTAAAGTAATTTTTTTATAGTTTATAACTATGTGAAACCCAGACTTTTTTGTTATGTATAGATTTTTCCCTTAATGCTTTGAATTTATACAAAGAATCCTGCCAATTATGCAAGTATAAAGCAATCCCTATATATTTAGATTTCCAGTGTGGTAAATAAAATTTACTGGGAGTATGTTTTTACATCAGAATTTCACATATGTGCTTATGTTTCAGGACATGTTTGACTTCTGGTTAATCCAAATATGGGCAAACCAGTTTTAATAAGTTTACTATACTCTTGGAATAAAGTTCTGCTCTTTAAAAAGTGAACCTTATAAATGGACTAAAGCAAAGGACAGTTTTGTTAGTTTGTTCATCCTCCCAGATTAGATTAATTTACTCTGTTACATGCTCCCTTAGCACACTAGGACTAGGGTTCTCCTAGCAGTGGCATTCATCATAGTTGTAATCACTCCACATTATGCTTTGAGGGTCTTGCAGGCCAACAATGTGTATCTCTTCTATGGTTTTCTACCCACATAGTAAGTGTCGGCAAATTGACTTGAATTGGCTTTAAAGTCCCCAGTAACCTGTGTTGCTGAATGTAACAGACATTTCTTGTTATTTGAACTGATTCTAGTTTCACCTCAGTAAGGGTGGCTAAAATAATATATTTCCATTGTAGGTCTCCTTTGAGCTCTAGGCATGTTATCCTTCTGCCTAATAATCATTCTTTAAACCACTCAGGATTATCTGTTGCCCAACCACTATGAGCAAAGTGCTAGCCCAGGCTGTGAACAGCAATGAACAGTTAAAACAAGAACCCCCCACTTTCACAGATCTTATGTGCCAGGGAAGTAAAGGGTGTATGGTAGAGACAGTAAATAAGGGAGGGCGGAATAAAGCAGAATGAGAAAGGTGGCAGGTTTTGGAATTAATAGTTTTAAATAAAGAGTTCAGAGTATGTCTCTCTAATGGTGACACTGAAGCAGCCTCACTCAAATGAGTAAATCCTTTGGGTACTGGGCTAGACTGTTATTAGACAAGGAAAGGCCCCCCCAAGGATCCTAGCTAGGTTTCCTGAAATGTTCACGGACAGTAGGAGGCTAGTGTGCCTACACTAGAGGACTCAGAGCGAATAGACACTCACTGTCTGAGTAGTGTGGTCATGGGCAAGCTTTTCTGTTAGGGTCACATAATAAAGTCATTTTAGATATCACTGGTTACTTAAAGTCTTAAATATTTTTTCTCTGCCTTTTTTTCTGTTTTTTGTTGTTGTTGTTGTTGTTATTTTAATGACTTGAATATGAAGAACATTCTTAGCTTATAGAACTTAAGGATATGGA